CCAGGCCCCATAATGCCTAAGTCGTCAAAACAGCACTCCAAAGCTTGAATGAGTGGTTCTTCAGCATCCACCGTGCTCTCCGGATCTTGCGCCTACTGACTACCACCTTTCCGCTCTCTGTCAAACCTAATGAGGAGTGTTATCTTCAATGGCGAAGAGGTCCTTAAAAACTGGCTCAACAACTTCTTCGACACCAGACCGGCCGATTTTTGGCGAAACGGCATCGAAAAGTTGGTCGAGAGATTGAAAGACGTCGCAAACAGTAATAGGAGGATACATCATTGATTGATTTATTATTATAATTATTGTTTTTTGTTAAAATAAATCTTTGTGAAAAAGCTCTACGAACTCATGTTACAACCCAATACATGTGATTGTAAGATCCCTGACATGTCATTTTGTCAGTCTTTCAACCTGTCGACTTGTCGGCCTTCGACTTCTCACAGAGAGGAATTCTTTACATACATATATGTTCGCAAAAGGCTCAATGACCGGGAGAAGCGGAGGTAAAAACTCACGGCTCAGAAGACGAAGAGTTCAAGATGAAATGAGATTCCATGTGACACGGCAATAGTAATAACGTTACCATGACGGAGACCAACAAGAAGCACTGGATGGGCCGAAAATATAGACAGGAAGTGAAATAGCGCGTCGACATCTATCGAATCAAAAGACAAGGTTCTCATAATACTTCCACTATGCCACTTGAACTAATAACTGCGTCTTGACAGCACTCTGTGGTATGGGTTGAGGAGTGGAGGTGAGGGGTTACAGGAGAGCTTTTCGTGGTGTGAACACCCTAGTGGTGCTGTATGAATAGAACGCTATTGTCATCACCACAAGCCCTATAGAAGACTCCAATGCTGAAGATTAGAGAAATGAGCCATCGATCAACGATGAGAAGAAAAAAACTGGCTAATATCCCACACATTAAGATTTTTTACTCATTGTTATGCCTGAGTTGAAAGGTAATATCTTCAAAGAACTGAGCATACTTCGATCCTGCCGTTGGAGTGAAAGGGGATCTATGAAGCGAAAGCTAGGAGGGCCCGATATAAAGTTTACCAGTCGGATCACTCGGCTGCCGCTGTGCTTCCCTTTTCTCTCGAAAAAGTTGGGTTAATCGGCTAACCGACCATTCCGGGCTTCCCCCTTTCCTAGACAGACTTGGGTTAATCGACTAATCTACCATTCCTTCTTTGGTACAAATGATACTTTTTTGAGCATAAAATTCGAGATAGGACTAGCAGAGTAGTGCTAGTGGTATTCACTATGTGCCGATGTTTACGCCTATGATTAGGAGGCTGGTTCTGTTGCTCTTTTTCTTGAAATGAATCATCCATCAACGATTTGACCGTTGGGCAGCTAAAGCCATGAATGGTACTCACAAATGTTGCCAAAAGGTATTGACAACACATCGAATGCCGACATCAGTGGAGCCTCCTTTCTCTACAGATTGATCACTATTTGAGGATCTAAGATTCGGGTAAGTCATATAGTCGGTCGGAAAAAATATGTCAAAATGATATTGGACCAAAGAAAGACTGCGATTCTTCCTAGAGTCACCAAACTTGGTGGGTGGCGGTGGTATTCTATAAGAAAAGAACCGAATTGACAAATGTATCACACTTGATCGCATCGAATCGCTACACTGCACGGACCAATTTCATCGAAAGAAACCTTTGAACTCAAAGTTAGAACGTCGCAAATACCACGGTGGTATTTGATTGGTGAGCACCTTCTGCTCCTTGGGTTCCATCAGCTCTCGCCACTTATCAACTGTTCCTGTCACGTCGTACCTTCCACATTGTTAAATCCTACATCGCCTACCGAAGTGCCAAACTCCAGTATCAACGCCAGCGTGGATTCGCGCAGTCTGCGTGCAACCATCAACAAACGTCTACACTTGCGAAGTTATACGGAGAAATTCGACATGCCATCACGACGATGAAGAATCGGGTGGCGCCGAGTCCCGATAGGGTCAAATCACAACGTCCAAGGAGTCTTCCACTTCTCAATGTCAAGAATCTGGCTAGGCTCTTCACGCGGTCCCTATCAGAAAGCAAAGTGCCCACATCGGAAAAAGCTAGCCAGCTTACGATACTGTACAAGGAGGGAGATGCCGACGATATTGGCAACTATCGCCCAATCTGCCTGCTGTCTGTGAGCTACAAGCCTTTTTCCGCGACATCCTACAGGATTGGCAGAATATTGGATGAAGGACAGCCTTTGATACTATCGAGACATAAGCGGTTATTGAAGCCCTGGACGACCAGGGTGTTCCTACTCAATATATTAGGATACGTAGTGAGCTCTACGCCTTAACCTCACGATCAGGATCTCGCCATTCTATAAAGAGTAATCATAAACGTGAAGAGAGGGGCTCGACAAGGCGATACCATCTCGCCTACACTTTTCAGTGCCGCTTTCGAAAACATCATACGTCATATGAAATTTGTAGACATGGGAGTGAAGGTCGACGGTCGCTACCTACATCACCTTCGCTTTGCAGACGACATCGTGCTTATAACACTCAACATCGAGCAGGCGTGACGAATTGGCTGAGTAACGCGCAACCTGGGGAGTATTCAAGAATATCGACGGAGTAGTGAAAAAGACGAATAGCATCCGGCTCGCCGCTCACCTTCTCGACACTGCTAACCTTCCTGTTTTGATGAACATGCTTTCAGCGTTACTCAACTCGCTTTGGGAAGGATAATGCTCAGAATTACCCTATACACGTGAGTGCAGAAGGGAGTACGGATTCCCGATCCCCGTCACCGAACGAAGATCAGGAATGAAATTGGTTACGCCAAGAAGTTGAACATTAGATGAGCCGGACACGTTATGCTATTCAGTGATGAACGTGAGACCAGAGCGGTGACTGACTGGATCCCTCGAGACGTCAAGCGAAGACCAGGACAGCCGCCAGTGAGATGATCAGACTTCTTCACAAAACTCCTGAAGGAAAGGAAGGAAAGGGACGATTCAATGGACCACTCTGGCTCGTAACATGAACGAGTGAAGACATTACTAGCGCCTGCTCGAGGGAATTGACCATCGAAGGGATGACAGATGGTACAGGTTATACAAGACTGGGCTTACTTTTTTTGAGAAAATCCTAGTGGTGAGCAATCTGGCAGCAGCAGAAATTTGAAATCCTTTAATATTTTAAGCACAGTAGGTATTAGGTTGATGCACAAGTTTTCCCCGACATTTTTATAAATATCTCATATCGAACCAACATGAAGATTTGTAGTGTCCACCATCACCAACAGCTACTCGACGCCAACGCTCAGGCAGTTTATCGATTCCTCCCTTCCAAAAAGACGGGGACTGGGTCTTCAAAAGTCGTCGCGTGCTTTTCTGACACCATCTTCTGTTCCAAACTTTTATTCCTTTCGGAAAGCGCTGTAGGTTTCTCTACAGCAGTAGTCGGAAGGAGCGAGGTCAGGGCTGTAGGGGAAACTGGACGAAAAACAGCTATTCGTACTTCTCCTACTGGCTTGGGTCGACCTTGCGGTGTGAGATCGGGCGTTATCATGGTGGAAGTAGATTTCCGCATTCGATCCACGAGTACGGTCGACACGATCTCTCAATGAAAGCACCTTGGTAACGTATGTGGAAACGTCAATCTCTGTTCTTTCTCTAGCAACTCCCAGTGCTCGATTCCTATTCTGGACTACGAACGGGACAGGAGAACCTTTCTGGAGAAGACGAGGCCATCTCCTTGGGGTGAAGATGATTCGAGGATGGCCTCTGGCTGTTCTTCTTTGTCGACCCACTGCCGCTTCCTCGGGGGATCATAGTGATGGAACCACTTTTTATCCCCAGTGAACGTCGAATTGAAAAAAGGAGACTCGTCTTAAAAGCGATAAGAGAAGTACAGGCGGCCACTCTCCTCGAGAGGGTAAACCTTATGCATCAACCTAATATGTTATTGTGCAATCTCTTATTTCTGAGAACATCAACATTAACATTTTTTCTAATAATGGCTGGACTAATAAAGCTGTATACGAAACATAATATATCCACGAAAAATTTCCTTATAAGGCAGTTTGGCCCTGCTCAAATACCTGAACGGTTTTTTTCCTAGAGGGAAAAATATCGTAGTCCAATGTTCAAGATGTACCGAACACGCCTCCCAAAATAGAAATAGTTGGACTCTCACCTCACAGAATGCTACGAGAAAACAAACAACATCATTTCTGCTCTGAGGCAATTTCATTGCATCGCCAACTGAAGCATAGTCAGCTGGCTGCTGCTGGTAAAACAAGGTTCTTGATTTCCGAAACTCCCCCAATAGTCGGGATGTGAATAATGTGTAGCGAAAGATTACTTATAATGGACGCTCAAAGCAAGATGTCTGGAGACTTCAACCGTGGCATAAGAAATTTGGTCCTGCATTTAATGAAGGAATGCTTAAACGAGGAAGACATTGCAAATTCGGAACTCCATCTTCGTTTCCCCGACGTTCATCCCGCGCCATGGAATGATTCCATAAACTAACGCTTGTTTCGATTTCAATACACAAACAGAGAATACTAGGATTATGCTAGCCAATCCGTCTGTGAGAAGATTTTGCTTTCACCATATCTCTATTGCTAGCGCACATTCACTCTTTTTGTCATTCTTAGGGGGCCATTAGTGATTTACTGTGCCACTGAGCTTCTTCAAATGCAACGAATGCTTTGTTTGTTGGAACCAGTTGTACGATCTAGTGGAAGGAAAAGTTGAAAAAAGCATGGAATGAAGGTGTGAAAACACGTAAATAGATATTAGAAACAGTGCAGAAGGGCTCTGTCGTTTTGAGCGCGTGTAGACGAAGCATGTCATGTCAATGATTTTCGATGACGCTACAGATAAACGTGCATGTTTAATAATGTTTTGTTTTTCACGAAGGGAAAGCAAAAGTTGATGAACGAAATCAGTCTTGAGATGGAGTTTAATCATTCTACAAAATTAGCCACTATAGCAATGAATATATGGAGAGACTGTAAAACTAGTGCATAATAGAACCTGGTGAAGGAACTCAGATAAGCTCAGTTATAGCACAAAGATTCTTGTCAGCAAGAGGCTGATAACTGAGTCTTAAACAAAATCTTGAAAGAACTAATGGACATCAAATGTCAATTGGCAAAATGTATCACTGTAACTCCGATAATACGCAATGATTTCTCCTTAAGTACTATAGAGGAACAGTTACATTTCATTACTTCAAAATATTTCATTTGATTATCAATCATCGCGTATGTGAAGCATAGTACTTTTAGTAACTTACAAATGACTATAATCACTATGTATTGCCAAGTAGGAGCCGACGATTGCATTGCGGAGTACACGAAATTATTCAAAAACGAAGTCCTTGCTAAATGTAAGCAAGGCGAGCTAGCGAGTGCTTGTGTCAAGTGAGTTTTGAATTTCCCTAAATATTTCATAACAGTCAATCGATTCATTGAGAGAACAGGTAGAAGATAAAGGATACAAAGGCCCCGGCCATCGGTTTGATTCCATATGCAAGTACTAGTAGTATCTAAGCGATTAAGGAAAATTAGGATGACACACATGGAGCTCCAGTGTGCTTATGCTCGAAGCCATCTGGCGCGTCCTCAGGTTGTGGATTGAGGAAAGGCCGTCCACCGTGGCGGCTAGCTGCTAATATATTGAGTAAGCAGTCGCGAACAATCGAGCGAACAAAGCAGCTATAGGACAAGAGGGCTGTCAACCCGAATGTACTGCTGCAGCAGAAAACCGGCAATAACTTTGAAAATAGTATGATTTGTACCCGAGATGGGCGTGCGAGGATGCCCCGACTCTGCACAACAAGCCCACACCTCGGCGTAAGGCAGGGGCGGAATAAGGACCACGGACGCATGAGAATACACATCGCTTCCCACAACGTCAGG